GTCAACAATATGGGCATGTTTTGTAAAGAGCTCAGTGCTTAGAGCGTTGAGCACAAGACAAATCAAGAAGGATAGTTTTTCCTTTCATATTGTTTTGCGTAAACAAGCCTCTTGTCTCACAATAGGAAAGGAAACACGGGAGCCATTTGAAATGAGTTACAGATATTGTTCATCCATGCAAAATTTCTAGGATTCGAACAGACTGCACCTATAAGGGGAAGGGTAACCAAAAGTTCTTAATTTCAAACGAGAGACCATAGGCTCGGAAGAAACAAGGATGCTGAAATTTAAGGGGAAAGACTTTAAATCAGGGGCACCCAGCGTCAATTTTCGGAAAACATCTGTTCGGAAGACGATTTGAGATCTAGATCGAGAGTTTTCGGAACATTTGTTGTAAAATTTCTTGCTTGCCTGCCTCTCCTAGGTTCTTCGAATATCTAAAAAAAATGGTATACTTGCCCATCTTTAACGGATTTTTACCCTAAAAAAGTCACCTAGAACTTTCGGGAGCCTTTTTTCTGGCTGAAATTTTCAAAAGGTAAATTTTGATCCCTATAAGTTTCGGATCAATAAACTTTCAGCTAGGAAATCCGAACAGATGAAAAATTTTTAGGGGATAAAAATATCCCTATATCTACCATTTAAATACTAAAATACGTTTAACAATGCTATGTTTAGGTGGTTTTGAACTATATTCTCCTTGGGTGCCCCTGATTAAATCACCACATTCTTAAAAGAGAGCAACAAGAAAACAAAATATCTCATTGAGATGCATTAATTTACCAGTATTTCAAGACGTCAACCTTCCAAAACCGTGCAAAGCCATTTCGATCTATAGAAATATTGGAACCTGTTTTATTGACTATTTGACTAGGGGAAACTGATGAAAGCCGAAATGCAATGATTACTCTCATGTCTACCTTTGGCAAAGTGGGAGACATATTAGATTCAACGGTTACCTGGTAGACGTATTCTCTATTCATATCGTAGTAAGTGTATCCCTTTTTCTCCAGAAAGTCTTCAGGAGCAGAAAATCTGTCTTCTTCCAGCAACTCACATTGATTTTGTGTTATTTGGTACGCCTGGCATTTACATTTCTCCTCAAAGCATTTTACATGACAGTCGTACGCTTTCGACGGCGTATAATTTTTAAAGCTGTGTCCTTGCATAGCACGATGATTTATACCCGCTTTACTAATGCTTCCTCTACTTTCTTCGCATCGTCTCTCTGCGGCCAATTTCAAACAGTGGACATAACAAAATATGGAAACGAAAAGAAAATAGTTTGCCAGTGTCATACTAACTTAACATAAGGATTAGAATACTTCTAACGAGAGTTGAAGCTTCCTTTCAATTAAGCGATCTGTTTCAAATAAAGAAAGTTTTCGCAAATGAAACTTGCTTTGTATATGGAAAGGAGATTTAATGTACGTGAAGATATTTATGGAAATAAGCATTTACACAGCTTAGCTAGGGACAAATTGTTTCCGATCAATAAATCAGTTTTGTCAGTTGTGTTTGTCATTTCTCTTAATCAGCTTTCTAGCGACTGGGATTCTAGGATAGGGAATCCTCACCACCCAGATTAATTTTCACGATGCATTTAATGCTTATTTGCCGGCTACTGCACGTAATTAAAAACCTGAGACATTAATCTATGAGATACGCTAAATACAATTATATAGCGAGTGTTGTTCCAAATGTCAATTTTGTTCACGCTTATTAAAAATTTGACTGCTACTGAACAACCAACAGCAGAACATTAACAATTGACTTCATCTGTCGGAGAATAAATTTAACATATGCCTAATTTTGGTAAGTCATTTCATATGCGATAAAATGGTCAAGGATGCGATAAGAAGGTACGATTAGTTAAGTGAGAGTTAACGAAATACTTGTAGCTGTCTTGGACAGTTGGCAATTTTTAAACACAAAATATACATATATATATATATAAATATATATATATAAAACAAACAAAATAAATACCGAATAACCTTGATTGTACTCACCACCAGTGTTAGGAAAATATAATCATCTTTTTTGGAAAAAGTACAAATTTAAATCCTCTATACGAACGATATAAATTATTGCCATATAACTCAAGATCGTGGTGGGAACTAAACGTAAATTAAATTTAATTTTACCACTATCTTAGCCAATCAGATGCTCCGGTTATCAATATCGGCTGTGTAAACTACCTTTACATTAAATGCAAAGTATATCGAAATAATTCAATTTCACGCCAAAATATCTGGTTGCAAAATCCTGCATGTAATACTCTAATCAAATCTAGTAAAAAGCGTTGTTTCTCTAGATCGTATGGGCAACGAGGTCTATAAATTTCATGCAGGAGGCTTCAAATTAGATTCAAACAATAACGTTAAGGTTTTATTTCGTTTACTGAAAAAACACATTGCTATTATAAGAACTTCTTCAAAAAAAAAAAACTGTTTTAACCATCGAAATTAGATTATTAGATTATTTGTAACCATTTTTTAAGTGTTTTTCAGTCAAATAGACCAGACCGTTTTGGCAGAAACTCAAGCTTAACCTTAAAAAGGTTAACGAGAATTTGTCACTTAGTTTTCTTTATTTGCCACACGGATAATAAGAACATTACAAACTAAGATACAAAAATGGAGAAAACAATAGCGATTAGGCCTAAAGGAATTGCCTCAACGTTATTTAATTTTTGCACAGCTATATACCTGACTTGCATTTCAGTTCTATTTTGATTGCTTTTATTTAAAAGCATTATTCGAATTCTATAGAAAAGGAAATTCTCCGGGGCCGTTCTTGAAGCTGCTGAAAACACCTACCGTACTAATTTTATCACTGGTTGACAATTCGATCTCGAAGCGCTCGAATTTCTGACTAGTGAAAAAACACTGCTGTTCTTGTTTTAAACATTACATAAATAATATATAGCAGGCATATTATTAAATCTAATATAAGCTGATATAGTACTGAATTTTGAAGCACCGCGCAAGGAATTCACCCTGTTCCGCACACGAACCTTTATGAAACATCTCCGCTTACATTGTATATTACAGGGCGGACGTATCACAGGATAAATTACAAGCAGTTATGTTGCTGTGACGCGGCTTATATCAATATCCTTTGTGTATTTTGTTAAAATTAAAGTTAATTAACACAGCAGGAGAAATCAAACGCAGAAGTGAAATATTGATAACAGGAGCTCCTGCGTGGCTAACACTGGCCCCCAGTCGTAAAATTTAATATTTACTTTTATTAGTTTCTGCCGCGTCTTTAGTTCTGGAAGATAATACAATTGATATCTTCGGGTGCCATTCGAATTATTTTTTTTTCCTAGAGTACTTGGATTACGTTCAATTTGATTATTTATTTACTGAATTATTGAAATATGTTTTTAATAAATATAATTATATTTCTATTTAACATTAAAAAATTGCCAAACATCAAATACGGCTGAAAATATTTCTTAAACTGTCATTTCAGCAATAATCGTGCTCTCTTTTCGCGCTCTTGATCATTTTACCACATTTGAAAGGGCTTTACAAGATAAGGTATATGTTTCATTTATCCTGCGACAGGCGAAGTCAGTGGTTATTAATAATGTTTTGTTGTTGGGTGTTAGTAAACAAATTTTTCATTAATGTGAAGGATATTGCATTTTCGCTCGTTATTCGCTAATTACGTTCAGCGTATCTCATAAATTAATGTCTTAGTGCGTTTTTAATAAATGCAATCTGAAAAATCTGATAATGATTCTTTATCCTGGAATCCCAATCACTAGAACGCCGACTGGGAGAAATGACAAGCGCAGACTGAGTAAGTGGTTTGTTCAAACAGTTTACCATTTAGCTAGAGAAGACTGCTTCATAACTGATATATGCTTGTATAACATGACATTTCCCTTTCTTATACAAATCACGTTTCATTTGTCAAAACTCCCTTTTATTCTAAACAGATTGTTTATTTGATAGGAAATTTACCTCTTGGAAGAATATTCAGTTCCATAGTTAACGTTACAACATACAGTGATCGCTTGATAAAGGAATAACAAAGATATAAAAAACTATAGATCTCAAATTTTAACCTGCGTCTGACAGTATCTTGATGCGAACAAAGCAGAGGACGTATTGCTGAAATGAATTTCAAACATCGTGCTATGCAAGGACACAGCTTTAAAAATTATACACTGTCCAAAAAGTATGACTGTCATGTAAAATGCTTCGAAGAGAGATGCAAATGCCAAGCGTACCAAATGAGACAAAATCGATGTGAGTTGCTGAACGAAGACAGATTTTCTGCTCCTGAAGACTTTCTCGAGGAAAAGGAATACACGTACTATGATATGAATAGAGAATACGTCAACCACCAGGTAACTTATGAGTTCTGCCAATCTTATGAAAATAGATAAAAAAAGAGGGAGAAAGTAACATAGTGGTGTATTCCGTCGAGATTTCATTTCGGTTTTATTCATTTTTACCTTGTCATAGTCAATAAAACAAGATTCCAGTCTAAAAAAGTTTGGATGTATCAATAATATCTGGTACTCACTTAAATAACTCCACTGTTTACTTTCTTATTTCGGGAAAAGAGGCTTCTTGTCTCTACAAAACAAAATGGAAGGAAAAAATTTTTCGTCATTTTTCTTTTGCTTGAAGCATGGAATGAATTAAACAGGAACTGTGAGCGTCGAACAGTCTTCATAACCCATGCATACATTCTACATGGTTTATAAAGCAGTGAATTTAGTTCAGTATAGCAAATATTTCGGAGTTTGCATACGTGTGAAAATAGGAAAACCTAAAAGCGGAGCTTCCATTCGAAAATATGTAAAATATTAATCACATACATACAAAAGAGAGGGTCGTGCAAATAATAATAATAATAATATTATTATGTACACCTTTAACATATTCTCCCCTTGCACTATTAGGCATTTGCAAAGAAGGCTGAAAAAGAGCAACCGTGCATTAACCAGTGCTGCAATCAGAATCCATGTGCACATGGAGGTTCCTGCACTGAGTTGTGTGAAGACGCCAATCACAAGTTTAATTGTACGTGCGCAGTGGGATATTACGGCAGATTTTGTCAAAAACGAAGAGCAACATCTTGTAGAGCACCTGCAGAAAAATGGAGGCAGCAATTTTGGAGTGTATCAACTGTCAAACCCAACGACTATATCCATGTACGAGGTCTTCTGTGATGCCATCTCTGAAGAGGGATTCGTTTGGACGCTTATCGAATCTTTCAGCCGTCGCAATAAAGATGAATTTGAGGACAAGGCATTTTTTAGAGACTATCCAAAAAATCAGGAAGCTTTTAAATGGGACAGGTTTCGTCTCTCTCTGCCACGTATGATAGCCACAGCAAACCGCTCAACGCACGTGCGAGCAACGTGCAACTTTAACACTGAACAACTTCAATATAAAGATTACTTTAGGGCCAAGTTGAGTGAAATCGATGTCCTGCGCCTGAGTTTTGACGAATGCAAAAAAGTCGAATTCATTAGCATCCGAGGATATAACTGCACTGGCTGCACGGCTTTCTTCTTCCAAAAGGACGGTTATCATGCGCATAGTGATTCGTATTGGGCGCCAGCGGTAAAGTGTCAGTTTACTAGCGCATCTGCAGATGCAGTTAAGTCCCCGGGAGGCGAAGATGACTTCGGGTGTTATCAAACAGTCAATCCAGTTCACAGATGTGTATCGAGTGATGATTCGACCACTCAGTGGTGGTTTGGAGTCCATCACTAGGCTCTTTGCTTACCTATTCAGACCGAGCTTTTTTATGCTTAGTGCGATCCGCGGCGGAGGCTCTTTAACTTCAAAAGCGCTCGCGATACGGGTTCTGAATTACAAAGAATAATGCACTCAGCATTTCCAAAATCTAAGCAAAACTTGACTGACGTAATGACATGCACTGCACCTTTTTACCGATACGGCGGCCATATTAAATTAATTCGATTTAAGGAGTATTATAGGATGCCCAGGGGGCATGAGCACATTTCGTTTGTATTTTCGAGCGCTTTTCGGGACATTTTTTCTAAAAGTTTTCTTAGAATAAGATTGTAATGGGAAAAAAGATCCTTGTGCCGTGTTTGGATGTAATAGTGATCGCCTTTTTCTAGTTTAGTATTAGAAATATGGTCTTTCACTGTATATTTCTCGGGAAAAAGAAAAATTTAGGAAAAAAATGTCCCGAAAAGCGCTCGAAAATACAAACGAAATGTGCTCATGCCCCCTGGGCATCCTATAATACTCCTTAAATCGAATTAACTCAATATGGCCGCCGTATCGGTAAAAAGGTCTATTTGACGTCATTATGACCTCCTGAATCCGCCATTTTGAATTAATTACATCACAGGCAGACCACCCTCTGTTAGTGGGGGCCGTTGTTGATTGAAATCTGAGCAACGATCTTTTGTTATTTATGGAAGAAATACATATGAACAATACGGTGGCTATAATTTGTTCCAAAATGCAGAATTTGAAGCAAATTTTTCAATAAAGGTTTGAAGAAAATGTTAACTGAGTCACGTGTCATGTTTTTTTCGCCGTCCCGTGCTATTTTAAGCGCTATTTTGCGAGAGGAATATTTGACCTCGGCGGTTAGAACTAAAGAAGGAGACAAGGCAGGCAGCAATCAGCCGCCGGCGAGTGACCCAGTCCAATTAAGCTGGAACTGACGCCAAACTATTTAATTTCTTACCTCGAAAATATCAGCTCCCGATCCACCAGATATGTATCCATGCCCCATCCGAATGAGAGCTCAATCCTTCCAAAATTTCTCGAGAAAAGCCATCCTGAAGTTGCAAGACCAGCTTTCTCAACATGACCGCTGCAAAAATCTCAACCAAAAGCATTTGAGGTATGCGCGTCAATTCAAATCCACCAATCAGCGTATCGCGACCAAGCAAACATCCCTGTGCGGGGCAGGGTTGTGTTTTTGAACTGTCAACGGTCGCGATACGCTGATTTTGTTAATAATTCTTTTGGTAATTTGAAGTCTTTTTTTCATAAATTTCAGCATCCTCGTTTCGTGAGAGACCCCTTTATGGCTTCTTGTTTGAAATTGAGAACTTTTGATTAAACTACCCCTCATGGTACATGTTGTTCGAACCGTGAAATTTTGGATGCATGAACAATATCTGTAACTCACTTCAATTAAATCTTCTGTTTCATTTCTTATTTCGCGATATGAGGCTTTCTGACAGGACAACACAACACGGAAGGAAAAAAAAACCATATCTTTCCTGATTATTCTGTATGGATGCTTGACACACTGACTGAATCAAAAAGGAGGTCTTGGCGCCGAACCCTTGAAAAAAAAAACATGCCTAAATTGTTGACACTTTATAAAGAAGGGAATTTGGTTCAGTAGAGAAAATACTTCGCAGTCACGCATGCGAGCGAAATTTGGCAAATCTAAAAGCGGAGCGTCCATTCGAAAATATGTAATAATTTTATTTGTACACATACAAAAGAGAGGGTCAAGCAAATAATATTATTATCGTTATGTACAAATATTATTCCAATATGCACTTTTAACATACTTTCCCGTTATACTATACTAGACATGTGCAAAGATGGCTGAAAAGGAGCAACCACTCATGTTAATGCTGTAATCACAATCCATGCGCCAATGGAGGCACCTGCAATGAGTTATTTGAAGACGCTAAAAACAAGTTCAAATGCACATGTGCTGCGGAATATTGCGGCAGATTTTGTCAAAACGAAGAGCAACATCTTGCAAAGAGCAGCTGCAGAAAAACGGAGGGAGTATGTCTGGAGTCTATCAACTTTTAGACCCAACGACTATATCCTTGTACGAAGTATTCTGTGATGCCATCTCTGAAAAAGGATTCGTTTAGACGCTTATCGAATCTTTCAGCCGTCGCAATAAAAACGAATTTGCAGACAAACCATTTTACAAGGGCAATCCGATAAATCAGGACGGAGCAACTTTCGCTTATCTTTGTCACGTATGATAGCCACAGCAAACCGCTCAACGCATGTGCGAGCAACGTGCTACTTTAACACTGAAGAACTTCAATGCAGAGATTACCTCAGGGCCAAGTTAACCGATATCGATGTTATGCGCCTGAGTTTTGGTGGATGCAAAAAATCATGCGCATACTGACTAGTATTGGGCTCCGGTGGAAGCGTGTCAGTTTACCTGCAGCCCATCCGCAGATGCAGTGAAGTCACAGGCAGGCGAAGATAATTTGGTATGTTATAGAGCAGTCATTCCAGTTCACAGATGTGTATGGAATGATGATTCGACCACTCAGTGGTGGTTTGGAGAGCATTGCTAGGCTTTTTTATTTACCCTACTTTTCCTTCCTTTCTACGACTGGAGGTGGGGCGGTGGGCAGTGGCGCTTAGGAGGCTCCTACCCTTTATATAACTTCAAAATCTCTCATCATACCGCCACCAAAATTACACTGAATCATGTACCCATCATTTCATAACTTGACTGACATGACAGCCGTAAAGCGAAAAAAAAAAACCTTTCGAATTGTTGATAAAGTTAAGAAGTTGGCTAACACATTGGTTATTTTTACTCTTAAACAGTGTATTGGAAATCACATAATTTTTAGCGTTGTTTTGGTCGGTCGCCGAATGAATATATGTATTTAGATAGTATAATATTTCTTCCTGAGTACTGTTATTAATGATATGATAATAAGGGATAGAGAGTCGCTGTACTTTATGCCTAAGTTACTATATTTATCCTCATACCCCCCACCCCCCCCCCTTTCCTTCCCCCATAACCTAGGCCCTCCTATCAGTCAAGACGTTTTCCTTCTCACGTCGATTTGTACTGTCGAACTTACATGGACAATTGTGAGCTTAAAACGCCAGGTGCGGTGGGTTCTTTAACCCGTGAGGATAACTTCGGAAATTCCAAAACATTTAATCGTTTTCGTAGGCGTTCGTCTTCTGACAACTCTACCACCCAGTGGTGACTTGGGAACAATAGGTCACGCTTAAAAGAAATACTATTATATAGTCACATCGTTGGTGGCTGAACACAGTCTTGGCAGTTTGTGAGTATAGGTCATTTGCCGAATCATGGCAAGAGAAGGGTTGCAGCTCACAAGCTGAAACTTGGCAAGTGAAAAATGTACTGGTGAAAGATTTTGGCTGACAGGTAAAATTTGACGTTTTCGTAGTTTCCATGGAAGCATGAGCGATTGAACACAACCTTAAAATTTCACTTTGACTCAGTCTACACAAAATTCGCTCATTTTTCCTATAAACTTGCACACAGCTTACTATAATTAATCATTACCATTCGAAACTTCTTTGACCAAACTTTAACCGACGGGTTTTTAGATAATCAATAATATAATTGTATTGTAATTAGTAAATGTGTCACAAAATTAGTCTGTTCAGCTTCCATTTGAAAGTTCTCACTATTTAAAATACAATAAAAGTAAAAGTCCTGCCAAATATCACAAAATTTTAATGAATAGAGTTTGAGAGATCGTCTTCTTTTTCGCCGCCATGTTTGTTTGTCTAATTTGAAAAACGCGTTACCGCAAACCGCCCGCAAAACTGTGTTCAGCCACCTTAAATTCACATGTATGAACAAGTGCGCAGCGATGGAAATGTGACCTAAAAAACTATTCGTATAACATTATGACGTCCTAACAGAACATATTTTCCTGGTTTTAATGAACCTGTATCCATGAGAGACTTGATACAGTAAAACTTGGCTGTTTGTAATGAAAGCCAGACTTTTCTCAAAGCGATGCAAGTGCTAAATTGCAGCCAACATAGCGAACCGCATAGCCAACATATATTTACATGTTATTAGCACCAATGCAAAAGCTGATTAAATAATGTCAAGTTACTCTATTCGCCGGACACGATCAGAATATCTGGAAACTCTGCGAAAAATGAACTAAAAGTACGAAAACTCTGCAGGATTTTGAGCGCTGCTGTGAATTTTTTTTTCAGGTTTTTACGTTCAATAAATTCAAAGGCACCTTGAAACACTCCCATGGCGGTTCTTTAAATCAATGAGTGTTGAAGAATTCTTAATACCTTTGAAATTGTTGAAACTATTTTTCATTAGTAAACCCGTATTTTTTTTTACTTCTGAGCGAAAACTTAGGCTAGAATTGGCTTTTCTTTTGAGCGCGAACGAAGTTAACGTCCTTGCTTTTTAGTCTCAAAATAATAAAGGACTGAGTTGCTCTTGTCAAGCTTATTTGACGCAGTAGTTTTATTAAAAGGGTAAAAACTGTCGAGACCGTTAACGACTTATGTCAACCTTCAATGTTTACAATGACCTTTTCATGGCGGAACAGGTTTCAAGTTTTTCCCCCCTTGGGCAAATTATCGCCGTGTGACTGCAATCATAAAAATGATCAAAACCCAAAGCGAACTCAACCCAGACTATTTTCCCATGGGGAGCCTTGGGGAAGAGTTTACTCGATACATTTTCTGAAGGTTCGACACTTCCCTAGAAAAATTGACAACAAACCGCTTCCTGGAGTTTTTCTTGAAGCTTCTCTCCCGCTACAATATTCTTTCAAAACAGTCCTTCGTCCGTAATATGGCGCGCGACCTCTCGCAACTTCGTCGCCCGCCTACCCGCTTCGCGGCCAAAAAAGCTTGCCCGCTCGCTAAGAAACTCGTTAAACTCGATTCCGCGGTGGTTTTAATGGTTTTTCAGGAGTTTTGTCATCTTTTGGCCATTTTTCTTGATTGTAGTAGTAGCCCTTGTCGTTCTCTGCTAATTTCGAAGCGCACTCTTTGCAAAACGATTTTGTCGTCTTGGAGTCGTGTACGAAACCTGCCAGTACCGGTTTTTTTTCCTCTTTGGAGGCATTCACTTCCAAAATCCAGGGAAAAACAGTGAGCACTATACTTGTAGACCACGATTTCTGTCAAATTGCGTGATTATCTTGGTTCAGCAGAGTCTATCTTTTTGTCGAGGGTCGAGGGTCGAGGGTTCCATGTCAAGGGGCGAGGGTAACATTTTTTTTTTCCAAAAATTTTTTTGTGGAAAAGGTAATAATTGATGCAATCAATGTCATTAAAACAAATAAGAAGAATTTAAAAAACAAATGGTGCGTGAACATCTTCTAGTTGTTGGGTTGGGGGGGGGGGGGGGGGGGGCGAAAAGAAAAAAGCTCGGGGACATGCCAATTTGTTTTCGAAGAATTACATTTATAACACCCCGGAAACCCATACCACGAACAGAACACGCTACTTGAAAACACTGATTTTAAAAAAAATGTTGTAAACAAAATTAAAATGTCGTAAAACAAGAATGAGTGCGTTGAATTATGAATTTCTGGTCCAACCAACAAGAATGGAAGGAAATAACTCCTATAGCGTTGTAAAATGTGTCATAAAATGTGTCATAAACGAACAATGCAATCGTTGGAGTCTATCTTTTTGCAGAGCTATTAAAATGCGCGAACTCGCATGGAAATCGCCACCCACTAACGCAGAGGTTTAAAATAGAATAATGCCTGGTAGCGACTTTTGGTGAATTGAACATCGGCTTTTGCCGACGCTTTCCGATTAAAATACAATACATCTTTCTAGGCCACAATCGGTCATATTTATTTGTGAACGTGGACGTGGTGGACGTGAATAGGAAAAAAAAAAACAGAAGTACGGTCCATGTCTTCCATTGATCCAATTAACTGTTTTACATTTGACACATTTCTACTAAAGATCTGTTGTTTTGCCAAGTTGGACATGAATAGGAAAAAACGGAGTACTGCGATAATGCCGTTTATCTTGAACCGTGAATACAAGTTTTTTATTCCCGAAAAAAAATCGACTGTGTTTCAAATTCTGTTTAACTGATTGAAATGTTTCAATGTCACACAAGGCCATTCCTGTACAATTTTTCGGTCAGTGTATTCCAAGTCTGTCTTTTGCGGATTTTTTTTTTCTTTAAATATTCATAAAGTGTACACTCTTTTTTTCCTTTTTTTGAAAGTTTGCATAATCGGTCTGCTTCGATCTGATCGCTGTTCGAGAATAAAAGCTCCCCTTTTCGTGTAAAATAGGAAATAATCGCGGAAACTGTTGTGAAGAAAGTTTTTGCGCAGACAACCTCTGATTTCTATTTGAAATGCACAGTAGGGATAAAGATGTGGACAAAATGAGTTTCGCCACATGACTTCCTATTGTACCTTAAGTTGGACAAGACTTCAGTGTTTCACGCACTAAATATTGCGGAGATGCAATTTGAAATTTAAAAAAAAAGATATATATATTTACTCTTACAAATGAACAGGATAGAAGTTAATAGCGTTGCAACTCGGAGTTTCACGCTTTAAGCAATCAATCAATCACAGAACGCGCTACTCCAACCGTTCATGAATTTCAAATTTCCACCTTAAAACCGAAATCTGTTTTCAGAATTTTTAGTGTGATGAACACTTAGTGGGTGAAACTCCGAGTTACAACTCCATTAACTTCTCTTCTTTTCATCTGTATTTCGCTCTGCATTTGTCTAATATGCATTGAGCACTTCTAGGATAAGTGAAGCTATATACGTAAATTTTTTTGTCCATTTTGTATTTACTCTTATTAACTAATCCTTGCCTTAACTTATTATAATGGGCAAGTGTCAAATTAAAAAATAATCTACAGAGAATGTTTTTGCTTTCCATGTCTGTTTTGTTGTTGTTGTTGCTTCTTTTCCACAAAATAAGAAACGAAAAATAAAACCGTTGTTTGAAATGAAGTGGAGAGTGTTCATTGGTGCATTTCTAAATTTTACCAATTGAAAAACAACATTCAATATCCAAGGCAGTGTAGTAATTAGAACGCGCCTTTACATTAATTTACGAGATAAGTTTTACTAAAATAGCTGTTTCTGTCTAGCGAAATGTCAATGAATCATAATTTATGCTAGCTATAACGATAATGTGTTTGCCAAAACCCAGAATATGATTATATATACAAGACGCCCAATTTTTTAAGGCTTTTTTTTCTGATATTTACATTACAATACGCAGAAATCAACCCGGAGTCGTGAATACACAAGTGGCAGCAACAAAACACGTTCAACAAGAATTAATAGAAGAGGAGTTAAGATAAATCCTAGTGCTTGTAATGCAAGGCATAAGCTTAAAACACTAGCTTGAAATCATACGCATTAAAAAGTTGGGGAAGGTTCAAGGCGGGGTCACCTGATTTATTTGGGAACTTTCACTGTCTTACTGTTCTGGTAATAAAGCCTAAATAAATTAACTAGAAAGTCCACATTTAATATAATGATTATTAGGTTAAGGACGGTGCCCACAAATGGTGTTTTTCCCAGATAATGACTATGTGAGACTGGTAGATCATATCAGGGGCTATTGAAATCCAAAAAGAAAACTGGGGGTAACCACGCATTTTTCAGAGATAACTGTGCTTCAATATGGAGAAAAACGCTGAATAGGCTTTTTTTAGAAAAATGATAAAAAGTTATTTTTCCCAAAATTTCAGAGTGTACACGTGAACTGGTACAAATGCAATGATAATTGTAACAAGGTTTCAAAATAGGCAACAAATGATAACATAACAGCTGCTCTTTATACGTCTTTTTTTGAAATATCAGCACAACTGGGAAGTTATCAGCAGTTACCCCTCTCCACGCGTTTGCCTCAAAAATAGTGTAAACGAACCAAAAATTGATCGTTTGCTGAGTAGGCTTATTACTTTTATTTGGTAAGATAAAAAGTAGGGGGTTAACTTTCGTTTTTAGAAGTTAAATTGGTTGTTTTCGACCTTAACGTAATCGCTTTAGGGGTTATTTACAATTTTCCCCATCCCCTCCTCGGTCAGTTTCACTATTGCTTCACTCAACGCGGAGTACTCTGGGATATCCACAATGGCTAACAGTCAGAGAAAACAACAACACATGGAGAAGAGCAAAAACAGAAAGTGAAGCAGGACATTTCATGGACCCTAAGGAAAACAAATTATACTATTTCATTCAGCTGGAGCTTCTGTGTCTCAAACATTTAACAAAAATGTTTGGAGAAGAGCAATCTCCAAGGTATTAGATATTACTTGCAGGGCACATAGAGTAGTATTGCGAGCTCAAGATCCACGGCTGGTGCTGTAAACAAACTGCTGTACTGTAGTGGAAAATAGTCGACAGAGACTCTAAGACAGGTACTCCTTCAATGGCTTGCTTACCTGTACATGTCCTCAAGATTTTTTGAACTGTAGATGTAATATGGATTGTAAACCTTGTATCGTTTTTTTATCATTTTACCGGGTACCTCGATCGAATATGTTATTAAACTTGCATACATTCAATGAGCTTATATCTGTGCTTTGCGCTATCTCTTTCGGGCTTTGCCACAAGTGTGATATGACATCAATGATTTGCATAGACTCAAGTTCCATACATGAGCTAGTAGTTGCACCGAATGCGTTTATGTACCGTCATATATAAACTGGGCTATAATGATCATTTTATATATTTCGTTTTGATTTTTTTACTGTAGCATTCTGTGTCATGATCATTCACTATGTTTCGTTTCTAAATGTTAATTTTAGACTTAACAGCATCTGTTAAACCTAAGAAAGTCTTAGAATGGAAATACTTTATTTTACCTTCCATCTTTAGTTTGTAAACAGCCAAATGGCAGCTATGTCTAAATGTCCAGATTATGTGTGGCGTGAAATTGAACTTTAAGAAATACTATCTACACGACAAGTTGCCAATGAGTCAATAATTTCACTGCTTAGTAATGCCAAAATGCTTAAATAACAATGATAATAGTTAAAAGCATAACAATTTTTTATCATTTTTTCCACAATGAAGCCGTTTCCTTTGCGGTCCGCAACTATTTGTGAACCTACGATCTCAGCAATCTAAACAATCTTGTGATAGTTTCTTTCTTGTTTGTTCAGCAAATAAAAGCCTCGGACTCTCAATAAAAGGGACATCTGTATGTACTCGAACGCTTTAAGTCTATCTTCTGGTGAATAATTACATAAAATCTTACAAAATTAAAGAAATATTCGGGAAAGTGTTTATAGCCGATTAGCCGATAAAACGCGAAGGACGCGAGTGAAAGGTAAGCTTGCAGTTTCTTGGTTAAGCGGAGGACTTATGCCTACTAAGGGATTTTTTAATACCCAAGATCTAGGCGTAACATCTTGAAGCAATAACTTTTGATGTTTTAGAATTGACTTTTGTTTGACTATAAAATGTTCGGTCAGATCGACCATACGGCAGAAATAGCAACATGCGCATACTTCTTCGGTTTTCAAAGAACTGACAAGGTAGATAGAAATTATTTTTCATCTACTGAAAAACGACGCATCTTTTCCACAAGAAATAACTAGAACCTCCCAGACTTAGAAGAGACAAAACCAGTCCGCGTGTCCTGCGTGTTGCGCATTTCTTTCGCGTCGCGCGCGTCTACCTTGGCATGCGCAGAAAATATGGGCACCGTCCTTAATAAAAAAAAAATATGTTCCACGAATGTCTGACTTAGACTATCTTAATCAAAAAGCTTAGTAACGCACTCCAAACCACCACTGAGTTGTCGAATCACTGCTCGATACACAACTGTGATTCTTATTAACAGTTTAATACCATCCGAAGTTATCTTCGCCTGTCAGTCCCTTCACTGCACCTACGGATATCCTGTTACACTGACATCCTCTCATCCCTGGACCATTATAATACGAATCAACGTGCGCATGCCAAGTATCCCTTTGGACGAAGTGGGCCGTGCAACTAGTACAGTTATATCCTCGGACGCTAATAAATTCATATTTCTTGCACCCATCAAAATCCAAACGCATAACATCGATATCGGTGAACTTGGCCCTCAAGTAATCGCTGTATTTAAGTTCTTCAGTGTTAAAATTGCACGTTGCTCGCACATGCGTTGAGCGGTTTGCTGTGGCATTCATAAGCGGCCGAGATAAACGAAACTTGTTCCATGAAAAGGTGTCCTGATTTACCGGAAAGTCTTTGTAAAATGCTTTGTCCGCAAATTCATCATTATTTCGAAGGCTGAAAGATTCGATCAAAGTCCAAACGAACCCTTTTTCAGAGATGGCATCACAGAAGACCTCGTACATGGACATATTCGCTGGGTCAAACAGTTCATAGACTCCAGATTGGTTTCCTCCGTTTTTCTTTAGCTGCTCTTTGCATGATGTTGCACTTCGTTTTTGACAAAATCTGCCGTAATATCCCACAGCACATGTGCAGTTGAACTTGTTTTTAGCGTCTTTAAATAGCTCAGTGCAGGTGCCTCCATTGACGCATGGATTCTGATTACAACACTGGTTAATGAGTGGTTGCTGTTTTTCAGCCTTCTTTGCACATGCCTTATATAGTACAACGGGAGAGCATGTTAAAAGTGCATGTTGAAATAATCTTTATGCATTATAAAATAATGTTATTTGCTAGAACTTCTCTTTTTATAGTGTGCTTTATGAATATTTCCTACTTATTTTTTAATGGAGCTGCGCTTTTAGGTTTGCCAAATTTCGAGCAAACTCCGAAATATTTACTCTATTAAACCAAATTCCTTGCCTTATAAACTGTCAACAATATGGGCATGTTTTGAAAAGAGCTCAGTGCTTAGAGCGTTGAGCACAAGACAAATCAAATCCTTCCATATTGTTTTGCGTAAACAGGCCTCTTGTCTCGCAATAGGAAAGGAAACACGGAAGCCATTTGAAATGAGTTACAGATATTGTTCATCTATGAAAAATTTCTAGGATTCGAACAGACTGCACCTATAAGGGGAAGGGTAACCAAAAGTTCTTAATTTCAATCCAGAGACCATAGTCTCGGAAGAAACAAGAATGCTGAAATTTAAGGGGAAATACTTTAAATCAGGGGCACCCAACGTCAACTTTCGGAAAACATCTGTTCGGAAGACGATTTGAGATCTAGAGTTTTCGGAAGATTTGTTGTAAAATTTCTTGCTTGGCTGCCTCTCCTAGGATTTTCGAATATCTAAAAAATGGTATAATTGCCTATTTTTAACGGACTTTTTCCCTAAAAAGGTCACCTAGAACCTTCGGGAGCCTTTTTTCTGGCTGAAATTTTCGAAAAGGTAAGTTTTGATCCCTATAATTTTCGGATCAATTGACTTTCAGTTAGGAAATCGGAACACATGAAAAATTTTTAGGGGATAAAAGCCAAAGCCAATTTTAATCTATTAAAATATTGGAACCTGTTTTATTGACTATTCGACTAGGGGAAAATGATGAAAGCCGAAATGCAATGATTACTCTCATGTCTACCTTTGGCAAAGTAGGAGACATTTCACATTAGATTCAAAGGTTACCTGGTTGACGTATTCTCTATTCATATCATAGTACGTGTATGCCTTTTCCTCCAGAAAGTCTTCAGGAGCAGAAAATCTGTCTTCTTCTAGCAACTCACAACGATTTTGTGTTATTTGGTACGCCTGGCATTTACATTTCTCCTCAAAGCATTTTACATGACAGTCGTACGCTTTCGACAGCGTATAATTTTTAAAGCTGTGTCCTTGCATAGCACGATGATTTATACCCGCTTTACTAATGCTTCCTCTACTTTCTTCGCATCGTCTCTCTGCGGCCAATTTCAAACAGTAGACATGAAAAAATATCGAAACGAAAAGAAAATAGTTCGCCACTGTCATACTAACTTAAGATAAGGTTTAGAATACTTCTAACGAGAGTTGAAATTTCCTTCCAATTAAGCGATCTGTTCAAAATAAAGAAAGTTTTCGCAAATGAAACATGCTTTGTATATGGAAAGGAAATTTAATGTACGTGAAGATATTTATGGAAATAAGCATTTACACAGCTTAGCTAGTGACAAATTGTTTCAATAAATCAGATTTGTCAGTTGTATTTGTCATTTCTCTTAATCAGCTTTCTAGCGACTGAGATTCTAGGATACGGAATCCTCATCACCAGATTAATTTCCACGATGCATTTAATGCTTATTTGCCGGCTACTGCACGTAATTAAAAACCCAGACATTAATTTATGAGATACGCTAAATATAATTATATAGCGAGTGTTGTTCCAAATGTCAATTTTGTTCACGCTTATTAAAAATTTGACAGCTACTTAACAACCAACAGCAGAACATTAACAATTGACTTCATCTGTCGGAGGATAAATTTAACATAAAATTATGCCTAATTTTGGTAAGTCATTTCATACCTGATAATATGGTCAAGGGTGCGATAAGAAGGTACGATTAGTTGAGTGAGAGTTAACGAAATACTTTTAGCTGTCTTGCATGGACAGTTAGCACTTTTTAAATACAAAATATACATATATATTTATAAAAAAACAAACAAAATAAATACCGAATAACCTTGATTGTACTCACCACCAGTGTTAGGAAAATATAATCATCTTTTTTGGAAAAAGTACAAATTTAACTCCTCTATCAACGATATCAATTATTTGCCATATAACTAAAGATCGTGGTAGGAACCAAAGGTAAATTATATTAAATTTTACGACTATCTTAGCCAACCAGGTACTCCGGTTATCAATATCGGCTGTGTAAACTGCCTTTACATTAAATAAAAATGCAAAGTATATCGAAATAATTCAATTTCACGCCAAAATATCTGGTTGCAAAATCCTGCATGTAATACTCTAATCAAATCTAGTAAAAAGCGTTGTTTCTCTAGATCGTATGGGCAACGGGGTCTATAAATTTCATGCAGGGGGCTTCAAACTAGATTCAAACAATAACCTTACTGTTTTATTTTGTTTACTGAAAGAACACATTGCTATTATAAGAACTTCTTCGAAAAAAAAAAATGTTTTAACCAATCGAAATTAGATTATTAGATTATTTGTAACCATTTTTTAAGTATTTTTTAGTCAAATAGACCAGACTGTTTCGGCAGAAACTCAAGCTTAACCTTTAAAGGTTAACGAGAATTTGTCTCCTAGTTCTCTTTATTTGCCACACAGATAATAACAACAACAAACTAAGATACAAAAATGGAGAGAAAGCAATGGCGATTAGGCCTAAAGGAATTGCCTCAACGTTATTTAATTTTTGCAAAGCTATATACGTCACTAGCATTTCAGTTCTATTTTGGTCGCTTTTGTTTGACATTTTCTCAATTTTCACTTTTTAAAAGCATTATTCGAATTCTACAGAAAGAAAATACTCCGGAGCCGTTCTTAAAGCTGCTGAAAACACCTACAGTACTTATTTTATCACTGGTTGACAATTCAATCTCGAAGCGCTCGAATTTTTAACTGGTGATAAAACACTGCTGTTCGTGTTTCAAACATTGCATAAATAATAAATAGCAAGCAAATTATTAGATCTAATATAAGCTGATATAGTACTGAAGTTTCAAGCACCGCGCAAGGAATTCACGCTGTTCCGCATACGATCGTTTATGAAGCATCTCTACTTACATTGTATATTACGGGGCGGACGTATCACAGGATAAATCACAACCAGTTATGTTGCTGTGACACGGCTTATATCAATATCTTTTTTTTTTTCAATTAAAAGTTAATAAACACAGCAGGAGAAATCAAACGCAGAAGTGAAATATTGATAACAGGCCGAGCTCCTGCGTGGCTAACACAGTTTTTCCTAGAGGTTCTTTGAGTACTTGCAATTTGATTAATTATTAACTGAATTATTGAAATATGTTTTTAATAAATATAATTATATTTCTATTTAACATTAAAAAAATTGCCAAACATCAAATATGGCTGAAAATATTTCTTAAACTGTCATTTCAGCAATCGTGCTCTCTTTCCGCGCTCTTGACCATTTTACCACATTTGAAATGGCTTTACAAGGTAAGGTATATGTTTCATTTATCCTGCGACAGGTGAAGTCAGTTTTATGGGTGTAAGTAGACAATTTTTTTATTAATGTGAAGGATATTGACTGTTCGCTCAACATTCGCCAATTATATTCAGCGTATCTCACAAATTAATGTCTTAGTGCGTTTTAATAAATGCAATCTGAAAAATCTGACAATGATTCTTTATCCTGGAATCCCAATCACTAGAACGCCGACTGGGACAAATGACAAGCGCAAACTGAGTTAGTGGTTTGTTTAAACAGTTTACCATTTAGCTGGAGAAGACTGCTTCATAACTGATATATGCTTGTATAACATGACATTTCCCTTTCTTATACAAATCACGTTTTACTTGTCAAAACTCCCTTTTATTCTACGGAGATTGTTTTTGATAAATTTACCTCTTAGAAGAATATTCAGTTCCATAGTTAACGTTACAACTATGTCACTAGCGAACTATTTCCTTATTGTTTCTATATTTTTTGATATCTAGAGCTTGAAATTGGTCGCAGACTGTCAGAGAAGATGCGAACTAAGCAGGGGACGTATTGCTGAAACGAGTTTGAAACATCGTGCTATGCAAGGACACAACTTTAAAAATTATACACTGTCCAAAAAGTATGACTGTCATGTAAAATGCTTCGAAGAGAGATGCAAATGCCAAGCGTACCAAATGAGACAAAATCGGTGTGAGTTGCTGGACGAAGACAGATTTTCGGCTCCCGAAGACTTTCTTGAGGAAAAGGAATACACGTAATATAAAGTGAATAGGGAATACGTCAACCACCAGGTAACTTATGAGTTCTGTCAATCTTATGAAAATAGAAAGAAAAGAGGGAGACAGTAACATAGCGGCGTGTTCCGTGGAGATTTCATTTCTGCTTTATTCATTTTTACCTTGTCATAGTCAATAAAACAAGATTCCAGTCTGAAAAATTTTGGATGCATGAACAATATCTGGTACTCACTTAATTAACTCCTCTGTTTACTTTTTTTTATTTCGGGAAAAGAGGCTTCTTGTCTCTACAAAACAAAAAGGAAGGAAAAATAATCTTTCGTAATTTTTGTTTTGCTTGAGGCATGGAATGAATTGAAGAGGAACTCTGAGCGTCGCACAGTCTTCACAACCTATGCATATATTCTTCATGGTTTATAAAGGAGTGAATTTAGTTCAGTATAGCAAATATTTTGGAATTTGCATGCGTGTGAAAATAGGAAAACCTAAAAGCGGAGTTTCCATCTGAAAATATGTAAAATATTAATTGTACACGTAGAAAGTGACGGTCGCGTAAATCATAATATTATCAATATGTACACTTTTAAGATATTCTCCCCTCGCACTATTAGGCATTTGCAAAGAATGCTGAAAAAGAGGAACCATGCATTAATTAACCAGTGCTGCAATCAGAACCCATGTGCTCACGGAGGCACCTGCACTGAATTATGTGCAGACGCCGATCACAAGTTCAACTGTACATGCGCAGTGGGATATTACGGCAGATTTTGTCAAAAACGAAGAGCAACATCTTGCAAAGAGAAACTATGGAAAAACGAAGGGAGCAAGTCTGCAGTGTATCAACTGTTTGACCCAACGACTAAGACCATGTACGAGGTCTTCTGTGATGCCATCTCTGGAGAAGGATTCATTTGGGCGCTTATAGGATCTTTCAGCCGTCGCAATAAAAATGAATTTGAGGACAAAGTATTTTTCAAAGACTTTCCAAAAAATCAGGAAGCTTTTACATGGGGCAGGTTTCGTCTCTCTCTACTACGTATGACTTTAACACTGAAGAACTTCAGTATAAAGATTACTTTAGGGCCAAGTTGAGTAATATCGATGTCCTGCGCCTGAGGTCTGAAGGATGCAAAACAGTCGAACTCATTAGCATCAGAGGATATAACTGCACTGGCTGCACGGCTTTCTTCTACCCAAAGGACGGTAATCATGTGCATACTGATTCGTATTGGGCTCCAGTGGTAAAGTGTCGGTTTACCAGCGCATCTGCAGATGCAGTACAGTCCCCGGGAGGCGAAGATGACTTCGGATGTTATCAAACAGTCAATCCGGTTCACAAATGTGTATCGAGTGATGATTCGACCACTCAGTGGTGGTTTGGAGTGCGTTACTAGGCTCTTTGCTTAACCCTATTCAGACCGAGATTTTTTTATGCTAAGTGTGATCCGGGGGGGAGTCTCTATAACTTCAAAACCACTCGCGATACGGGCTCTAAAATTCCTCAGAATAATGCACTCATTATTTCCAAAATCTAAGCAAAACGTGACTGACGTAATGAAGTGCACTGTAATTGGACGTCATTTAATGACCTCTTGGGTTCCGCCATTTTGTATTAATTAAATGTCGTCCATTTTACTTAAATCTGTATAAATCTAGGTAATCGAGGAGTAATCTTACTTAATAGCAAATTTGATCTGTGTATAATAGAATGCTTAGGAAACAAAAAAAGCGGCAAGTTTTGAAATTTTGAGAGAATTAGAAACCAACCAAGGCAGCGAAGTTTTTGGCGAAATTTCAGGTACATTCTGTACTCTATGGTCGAGAAAAGTATTAACTAAGTTTTAAAAAGTGAATTTTTGTATTTATTAAGGTTTCATAGACGTTTTGTACATTTTGACATCTGCGTTCAACAGAAACTACAAAATGTGCTCCGATTTGAAATTGATTTTATGTTGAATTTGGCCATGTACTCAGCCGATTTTACTTGTGTGAACGGATCAACGATCCAGATAGTGATAGACGAATTGCAATTGATCATTAATTTATGGGTTTTTGAATAAAAATTTTCAAGAAATAATTTATCTATTGTTCATTCATACGAACACGATTGTGAGACTACAGCTCGTGAGATTTTTAGAAACAGTCCAGACGGGCTACTCGCCTTTGAACTCACCTTGAATAACTGAAGTGTTGTTGTTCAGTACGTGTTTCATTGCCATTCAAGAATTTTCCAGTGTGCTACTTTCTTTCCCATAACTCGTACCCTGAATGCCGCTTGAATGAAGTTTGACGCGTTTATTTACACTTTCTATCCTCGTTGAAAAAAAGTATCTATTAAAAATATGAAAGAGTTCTCCTTAATTCTAACGACACCCGTCGCCTTTTCGAGCCTGAGTCTGGCTTTGAACAAAACGTTTTAAATTTTTATAACGTTTATAATTTAAAGTGTATTAAGTCTATCGCACGTTTCTCAGTGAATCCACCCTGGAGTGAATACACTCCACAAAACCTTAACGCGTACTGGGCAGTTTGTGTAGGTTAAAAAATTATAGTTATCAGTAGTGAAAAAGGTTATTTATTTTCCTGTCTGCCCTCGAAGAAAATTAATAAACACCTTACAGAGAAATGTTCTACCAGATAATGTGAGGTATAAATGTAAAGACTACACATAACTGTTCGTCCTTGCCCGATAAGAAACACAGAATAAGCTTACGGGAACATAAAAGTCGTCCTGATTCATCCCCTAAGGACAGAAATACTGACCCTAAAAACCAAGACGCTGTGGGAGCGTATATTTGGGCGTTGATGTACTAAGTGTGTGTGAATTTGTTTTTTATGATTTGTGAGTAGTGCAGTAGCTTTGTATATTCCAGGAGTTGGTTGAGATGCGTGAAGTGGAAGGCGTGGAGTCATATTAGACGTCAATTGGTAATATAATGACTGTACTTCGTTAATCAGTGAAAATTATTTCTCGTACAATTTTATATGAAGCAACAACAAATAATTATTGTGGTAAAGTGATTTTAGGTGTTTTAGTGAGGTAGCTGTGGAAGGGCTAATTTGATTATGAAGGGGTAATGTAGTTGCAGTTTGTTGAAATGAACTGGTGGTTGTGAAAAGTTTTACTAATAATCGAAAACATACTTGTACTTATTTTAGACGTTGTTAGGCTTTCTGTTTAGGATTTTTTTCGCTTAATTTTGATAATATTTGTGTGGAGAGAACATGGATAAGGCCAAAAGTTAATATCTAGAAGGATGCATGAAGATGTTGAGACGGGCGAGCTGAAATTTTGTGTGTGTGCTCAGGGGCTATAAAAAATCGGTGAGGTCAAGGGGAGGACGTAAAATCTTGCTATAGAACTAAGGGTCTGATTACATGAGCCGGGCTGGCTCGCTTTGCAGAGATCCAGGCACCTTGGTTAAACGCAACAAAAATCAACTTTGCGATTATGTGACAACCCAGCCAGCCCGGTTACCTGGAATCCCTGTATTGTGATACCGGGTTCCCGGGTGGCAATTTTCCAAGTAATCACGCATGCCGGGCGGCCAGGCGAATGAACCAAGCGAGAAACAGGACAGCAGGTAACACACTGTTCATGCGCATTGCTTTTCCGGCTCATGTGATCAGGTCCTTACTGTTAGTTGTATTGTCAAGCAGTTTGCACGTGAAAGCTTTGGAATTTGCCGCTTTCGTGGTTAGTGAATGAGAGAATGCGACTTAGGCCCTGTCCACACGTATCCGTATTCGCTTGAAAACGCAACTTTTTTTATCCGTTTTCAAAACAAATTCGCGTCCACTCGAAGGTTTTTCGCATCGTTTTCGTCCGTCCACACGTATACGATGAATCGATTTGAAAACGATAAGTTAAACCCAACTGCTCATGCTTGACGCATACGTGTTCGCTATTGTAAGTCCACGAAATAATATATTGGCGCCATCTTTGAAATTCTTTGGCGTCGGTTTATATTGTTGTGACGTTCTTCAAAGTCACAGAAACAGTTTTAAATGTCAAAACCAGGGCAAAAACAAAGACAAACTAAAGGCAGGAGCCCATCAAATGGAGCCTCCATCTCCCATGCAAGCCCTTGGAGTCACTGAACCCTTTCCCGAATAGATTCCCAGAGAAGACTTCGTTCGCCGACAGTGGGAAGAGCCAATCACAACGACGAAATGACAGTGTTATTGTACTTCATCATACAGCAGGAAATATGGTGTTAACAGGCCAAACACAATCATAAACTAGTGAAACGTGACTTTAGCGTTTTCATCCCTCAGAGATTTTCTGTCTTTTCTTTCTAGCGGGTAGATTACATTGTGGAGAATTTTAAACTTTGACTATGTTAATCTTTATTTTGGTTGCTTGTCTCACACTAAGAGGCCATGAAGTTAGTTTGTTCCATGCATAGTGATTAACTAATTCCTACAGTCTGTAGTTCTGACAGGATTCGATTCTAGTACCGGTTTTCTTTAGCTAATGTTTTTAAGCGTTAAGGTTCTTATTTCGGTTAAATGACTCAATATTAATCAAATTTCTACTTTTTAAAGGTTTTTTTTTTTCAGAAATGCGTTTATCTGAATAAATACTTGTAGTCCTTGTAGCTGTTTTTTCCGTCAGTGTGATGATTCCTTGCTATGTTTTGTAACGCCGGGCCCAGCTATTTAACATTGTTTTCTCACGAAAAGTGATCTACAGATGCCAATTCGAAGGAAAGAATTGAGCTTAAACTTAAGCTACATTAACTGCTGCGAATCGCCCGCTGTTAGTCAGTCATAATTCTTTATGCGCAGATACAATCCATTTTGTTTTTCTTGAGATAAGTGGGTCTTTGGACTGGAGCGCGATGTCACAAATTTCTCCGTTAAAAAGTTGAGCAACTGTTCTGTTCTGTTCCACTTTTCAAGTGCCAGTTTTATCAGGCAACACTCATGGCAATACAAGTCAGTTCATTTGTCAGTTGTAAAGGAAGACTGCAATTTCTCAAATTTCGCAACTAAAGCATTCCTCGTTAGTTGCTACTTAGATCATCGCTTTTTAGCACGCGGTGCTTAACTGGCTAAAACCAATCCACGATGATGACAAAAATCAAATGATCCCCGCCCTTTTTTGGCGCTGATCATCGAAGAGTTCCAAATCGTCCACAGAACGTGTAATCGTCTACTCTTTTCGAAGTGCATGCTTAGATGTGGAATGTATGACGGCAAAAAAAAAAAAACTCGCAAAGATAACCTTTCAGCGATCCTCAGTTTGCTGCCTTTGTTCCATCGCCTCATGCTCAGTCTCAGTCGGGTAATTCATTAACTTTTATTTCATGATACCTAGATCCCAGCGGCTGTAAAATCGTAAAAATGGACGTATAGTATACAAGGAAAACGGTGGAAAACGGGCTTCTAAGTTCGACTTCATCAACTTTATTTTTTCACGGTGACATACGAGACTCACGAAAATATGACACTTTTCGCGGGAAACAAGCCGTTCTATTTATAAATCTACTCGGGAAAGGGTTGACCCAAGAAATTAATGGAGATGGAGGCTCCTGCTAAAGGGAGATCCAACCTTCCGCCTCTTGAAACCGGTAGCGAAAGTAACCTAATAATGTTCTGCCGCCCCCTAGAATAATCAGCTTGAACAATTAACAAAGCTAAATTTGCTTAAGAACTAGCAATTAGGTTAGAAATAAGTTTCTAATATTGCGCGGGGTGGATTGGAACTGATAGTGTGTCCTCAACGTTTCCGAAGAGTTCCGTTTTGGTCTGTCCAACGTAAACACCAAAACAGCGTTTTCAAAACGTTCCACTCTGGAGAGCGTTTTCGAAAAGTTCCGTTTTCATTGATCGTTTTTATCGGAATGTGTGGACGAAAGTCGTATCCGTAAAGAAAAAGTTGCGTTTTCAAATGAAAGCGGATACGTGTGGACGGGGCCTTTATCTAATTAACCGAAAGGTTTTAAAAATAGAACGCGGTTTGCACGTGAAGATGTTGGACTCTGCCCCTTTTTCTGTTTGACCGTGAGAGAATGCAACTACGAGGCAATTACGAGGTCATTCAGCTCAATAAGATTTTAAGAAATCACCTTTCCGAAAATGTGCAATGAAATTATGCTTCTTTCAATGTTACCCTTAATTAACTCATGCACGAGATCATGGAATTTTGCGTGACACCTTCTTTGGTGCTCGACAACTGAGAACAAAGTATTGTCAAACTCTTGGCAATAAGCCAAACCAGTCACACCGAGTGCTGTGAGGACGATTATTTTCCAAAGGGAAAATTTAAAATATTAAATAGTTTGTTTCACTTAGTGTACCTTGTTTTCCCAAAAAAGTTTGTTTTCTATTGCCGATTTGTTTGCCGTGTGTTATCTGTGGGTCGTATGTAACAAAGATAAATGCTGTGTCGTGACACAGCGCGCGGCAGACATTCGCGTCGCTTGGCTTGTTTACGCTCGCACGTATTGCGGGCCTATTGCAACAAGCACTTTGAATCAAAACAAGCCAACTCGATTACTCTGTTTGGGCGACGACCAAATAATCAATTGCTGCTACTGAAGAGACCTATAACTTCGCAAAGGGGTGTGGTGGGATGATTGAACTTGATGCATAGTGATTTTTTTAGTTGTACATATGCGGCTTTCAGCTTGCTGGGAGAGGTTTTTTCTTTCAGGTGTGTTTGCGGGATATTTTTTCTTAATCATTTAACCCTCCTTCCAAAGGTAAACTGATGCAGAAGGCTGATAGAGTTAAGTAGGGATTTAAAGATTTTTTTTGTGGCTTAGAGCTCGTTAGTTCAAATTTGATTACGGAGGCTTCGTTTTTGGCCCTGGCTAAATCCATGTACTATACTTAAACAAATTGATTTCTTTTGTGTAAAACCAATGTAACACAGAGTACACTGGTTAATTGTAGCACTGAAAATTTTTAAGGAAAAACAACTACAGACCAATTCGGGTTTAATGGCTATTTTCGTGAGAGAATCCCGCTTAGAAATGACACAAATAGCCCAGCATTGCGTTTTACCCTGATTCACATGTTTCAAGTTTTTCGAAATCACGCAAGTCTCCTTGCGTTCAACGGTTTGAAGAATGTATAAGGGTCATTTGCAAACGAATGAGTGATAAAAACTTTTCGGAAACAACTAATAAGTAGCAAACTTGTCTACATAGTCTTCTGTTGTGCAAATTTGCACAACAGAAGACAAGCTCCAAAAGTATACCTAGCGTAAAGCATTTTTAAAGAAAATGCTGTTACGGGCTGAAATTCAATTTGGAGCTAAAGCTATTATGAAGTCATTGTCACGTGATATTTATTCCCATCGTCCAAAGATAATATCATTATAAAGATAATTCCATATGTAATACATGTGTTATAATGCTTTTGCAATAAAGATAAATAAGGTTATCGGCCAAAATTCAAAAATGTGTTGAAAAAATGTAGAGAAACGTGTGCGTTTATCTTTCTTACCGTCACGTTTGTTTTGTCGCTTCTTCGTGTTTTAGCATCTTTTTCATTTCTATTTATACCACTCCTAAAATAGTGTGAACAATACAAATAAATTGTGAATATATTAGCATTGCGTTGGTCGTAAAACTTGTTTTACTTAGTTCAGTTCACGGCAATAAGTGACTGATCACGACTTTCAGTAGTGCAGGTAAAAATTTTCCGTTTGTTCTTGACCAATTATGTGCATGGATTCATGTGGCACACGGCTGAGTGTTGTTTTAATTACGATATTTGCACGCAAATGAATGAATAATTACAATATTACAAATCAAAGGAGTATGCGTATCGCTTAATGTCGATTTATTATCAATATTACAAATCAAAGGAGTATGCGTATCGCTTTATTATCTGTAAAATACAAAGAAACATAGGAGCTTTCTCTCTGCATCAACTAGAGCTGGTTTTTCCATTCTCATGTTTTATGTTCATTTTAAATGATTGAAAACCTTCGTTAGTCTCGCTTGCGTAAGCAGCGAGACTCATAATCTGCAAGCCGTTTTTCTTCGTATTTAGGACACAAAAGGGAAGCCATGGTCCCAGGCGTTCTTAGCAGAGACCGTGGAAACTGGGAGTAAGAATCGTTGCGTGACCTAAACCACGCATGTTTTGTAAAAAAAGCTTAGGAAAGATAAATGCGATTTAGAGCTTTTCCGGAACGGGTCGGTCCACGAATTCTATCGCTTGAGAGAGTTGATAGCTTTGGAACAAGTGTAAGCGCTTGAATTTTTAAGTACTGTTTCAAAAACGAGCAGGAGTGTATTATCAGGTTTAAAAACTCGAGGCGAAGCTGAGAGTTTTTAAACCTGAGAACGTCCCAGAGAGCTTGCTCGCAAGCTGTTAAGAAACAATGCTGCTTACGTTGTATGTTATGGGGCGGGCGTATCACGAGATAAATTACAACCAGTTATATTGCTGTGAAATTAACTTTATATCAATATCCTTTGTATTTTAATTTAAATTAAAGTTAATTAAGACAGCAGGAGGAATCAAACGCAGAAGTGAAATACTAAGAAGCACCTGGCCGTGGCTAACATAGTCGTAGAATTTAATGTTTAATTTACTTTAGTTTCTACCGCGTCTTTAGTTCTGGTAAATAATAAAGATATCGTCGGGTGCTGTTCGAATTAATTTTTTTGCTAGAGGTACTGCGAGCTCTTGTAGTTTGATTATTTATTTACGTATTTATTAATTTTTTCAAAATTTATATACATATTTAAATTATACATAGTTTCTATTTGACATCAAAGAACTGCCAAATATCAAATACGGCTAAAAGTATAACTGTCATTTCAGCAATCGTTTTTTTCTTGCCGCGCTCTTGCCAATTTTATAAAATCGCTCTACAAGATAAGGTACATGTTCAATGCGACAACTGAGGTCAGTGATTGACGCTTTGCTGTTTGGTGTTAGTAGACCAATTTTTCATTACTGTGAATGATGGATGTTGACTTTTCGCTCAACAGTCGCTAACTAGATTTGGCGTATTCGATAAATTATTGTTCGGGTGTGTTTTTAATTACGTGCAGTAACGGGAGGGAAAAAAATATACGCAATCAGAAAAATCTGATGAGGATTCTGTATCCTACAATCCCATTCACTAGGAAGCCGGCAGGGAGAAATGGCAAGCACAAGCTGAGTTGCTGTTGTTCAAACAGTTTGCCATTCAGCTGGATGACAGCTTTATAAAATGTATACTTGTACAATATGAAATTTTCTTTTTTTATACAAATCACTTTTCATTTGCGAAAACTCTCTTTTATTGTAAACAGATTGTTTATTTGATAAGAAATTGAACTCGTGGAAGAATATCCTGTTCCGTATTGAACCTCACAACTATGTCACTAGCGAACTATTTCTTTCTTATTTCGATATTTTTTGATATCGGCAGTTTGAAATTGGCAGCAGATTGCCCGAGAAAATGCGAACAGAGCAAAGGAAGTATTAGTAAAACGGGTATCAAAAATCGTGCTATGCAAGGATACAGCTTTAAAATTATACGCTGTCGAAACCGTATGACTGTCATGTAAAATGCTTCGAAGAGAGCTGCAAATGTCAGGCGTACCAAATGAGACAAAATCGATGCGAGTTGCTGGATGATGACAGGATTTCAGCCCCTGGAGACTTTCTGGAGGAAAAAGAGTATATGTATTATGATATGAATAGAGAGTACGTCGACCACCAGGTAAAGAAACAGTCTTGTCAAATTGTCCCCAGCTTTGCTAATGGGAAAAAAAAAAAGGACGGAGAGTCGTTTTGATGTATTCTGTGTTGATTCTTCTTAATAAGAGTAGCGATTGCATTTCGTCTTTATTCATTTTTAAGTCGTCACGGAACTATTATATTATAATAATAAAACGATATTCCAGTGTTTTGTAACAGGCTTAAACGCATCTCAGATTTCAAATGCTCTTTTAATAATTAATTTGGTAATTTAAAGTATTTTTTCTTAAATTTCAGCATCCCCGTTTCATGAGAGACCCCTTTATGGCTTCTAATTTGAAACTGAGAACTTTTGATTAAACTACCCCTGATGGTACATGTTCGAATCGTGAAATTTTGGATAGATGAACAATATCTGTAACTCACTTCAATTAACTCCTCCGTTTCCTTTCTTATTTCGCGACATGAGGCTTTCTGACAGGAAAACACAACACGGACGGAAAAAGAAAAACATATCTTTCCTCATTATTCTGCTTGCATGTTTGACGCTTTGACTGAATTTACAAGGAGGTATGGGTGCCGAGCTCTTTAAAAAATATGCCTAAATTGTTGATGCTTCATAAAGAAAGGAATTTCACTCATGCAAGTGAAATTTGGCCAATCTAAAAGCGGAGCTTCCATTCGAAAATACATATATCTAATAATTTTATTGGTAGACATTTAAAACAGAGGGTCGGGCAAATAATAATAATATTATCGTTATATATATAGATTATTCCAACATACATTTTTAAGAAACATACTTTCCCGTTGTACTATATTAGACATGTGCAGAGAGGGCTGAAAAGGAGCAACCACTCATTAACCAGTGCTGTAATCAGAATCCATGCGCCAATGGAGGCACCTGCACTGAGCTATTTGAAGACGCTAAAAACAAGTTCAACTGCACATGTGCTGTGGAATATTACGGCAGATTTTGTCAAAAACGAAGAGCAACATCATGCAAAGAGCAGCTGCAGAAAAACGGAGGGAGCACATCCGGAGTCTATCAACTGTTTGATCCAACGACTATATCCACGTACGAGGTCTTCTGTGATGCCATTTCTGAAAAAGGATTCGTTTGGACGCTTATCGAATCTTTCAGCCGTCGCAGTAAAAACGAATTTACGGACAAACCATTTTACAAGGACTATGCGATAAATCAGGACGCTTTTACATGGAGCAAGTTTCGCTTATCATTGCCACGTATGGTAGCCACAGCAAACCGCTCGACACACGTGCGAGCAACGTGCAACTTTAACTCCGAAGAACTTCAATACAGAGATTATTTCAGGGCCAAGTTAAGCGCTATCGATGTTATGCGCCTGAGTTTTACTGGATGCAAAAAAGTCGAATTTATTAGCATCCGAGGATATAACAGTTTAACTGTACTGGCTGCACGGCTTTCTTCTTCCAACAGGACCGTTTTCATGCCCATTCTGATTCATATTATGCTAAATCGGTAGGGTGTCAGTTTACCAGCCCATCCGCAGATGCCGTGAAGTCACCGCCGGGAGGCGAAGATAACTTCGGATGTTATCAAACAGTAAATCCAGTTCACAGATGTGTATCGAATGATGATTCGACCACTCAGTGGTGGTTTGGAGAGCGTTACTAGGTTTTTTGATTAACCTTAATTTCCTTTTTCCTTAATGCGACTGGACGTGGGGCGGTGGGTCAGTGGCGGTGCTGCGACGGTTAGGAGGTTTCTTCCCAATATATAAATTCAAAACCGCTCATGATACGGTCACCACAGTTACACAATAGGGAACTTATAAGAACCGCGACGAAGTTCACGAGGACGACGTCTCTTGACTGGGAAAAGACTGGAACGACAACGTCAGTTTCGGCGGGAAAAAGGGAACTTAAGATGCAGTCGGTCGGTAGGTTCACGACGACCACACTGAATGTAAACACAAATGTAAAACTGTGATGTTCGTTCGCAACAAAGTTTTTCGCAATGGCGTCTTTTAAAACAATGCAAGATCTTATTTTTTAAGCTGTACGTCTAATTTCATTGACGATGAAGTAATTTTTTGGTGTTGTCTGACCTTTTAGAGTAGAAAAACACCTCCTTTCGGTACGAAGATTATTCAACTTTCAACATGAATGAGATGACCGAGTCCGAGTGTCTGTCAGTGTCTGTTTAGATTTGGAAAAAGAGACATTCTGATGTGATAGCTGTTTTCCATATAAAGTTTATTCCCTCATGATTTGCCTTAACTAAATACGCACAAATAAATTTACCACTCACGAGTTCGCTCGCTCGGCCTCCACAGCTGGTGTTATTCTTCGAAGTAAAAACAATTCATTGGTCTAATTTTCAATCAACATCGCTTGTTAGGAGAAAAAAGGAACGATCCCATACATACATACATACATACATTATTTTGACTCCACTACACAACATCAACAGACAAAACGTAATGGCAAATAAGTTTATTTTGGGACGGCTTGGCGAGAACCAACCCTACAAAGTACTTATGTAAATACAATAATAGGTGATTACTGGTGAATACCTAATGTACAACATTCGTAAACTAGCTTTCACAAAAAGAAAAAACTCGTGCTACAAATGGTCGCTCTTGACCTGAATCACCCAGTTAAGCACGCAGGCTTAGTGCCAGTTAGGCTGCCAGTTATTCTGGGGAAACTAATTAATAAAACTCTGACAACATATAGCTGGCACAGGGAACACGGTAGGAGCACAGAGGCTAAGCAAAAAGAAAAACTGCTATAACTGGTCGATCTCGACCTAAATCCCCCAAATAAGCACGCAGGCTTAGTGCCAGTTAGGCTG